TCCATCGGAAATGCAGCCGCCGCAGCCGGGATTCGATCCCGCGACCTGCGGGTTAGCAGCCGAGTACCTTAACCACTAGGCCACCGCGGCGGGGCGACGCACCAAACGTACTCTCAGGTACAAATAAATGCGAATAAGCGTCTCAGTTGTTACTTCCCTGTGTCTGAAAAGCGCGATCTTTTCGCAAACGTAAACTGTGCAACGATTGAAGTGACTTTTGTGCGCCCGGTAACTAAAACTAAATCGTTGCGGCAGTAAACCAAACGCCAGCCAAGTGGTACGATCCCCCTACAGCGAGATAAGGGTGCGCGAGGAGCGTCGACCTCCTCATCTTTGCGGGGCAAAGTGCGTGTGGGAGATGAGAGCACGACCGCCGCGTTGAGACGATGTTGCTACGCTCGCTCATTACGCCATCTTTCTGGTAACAGTGAAAACACGATAGTCCCCCCCCCCCGATATGCTCGTCAGCAGCGTTAAGCGGTATATAGAGATAGCTCGCCGTTTGAACATTGGAGGACGTGCTCCTCGGCGGCCCAGTGGTTAACGCCTCGCATTCACGATTCAGAGGACCCAAGTTCGACTCCGCGTGCGAGAGACCTCCTCAGGATTTTTCCTTTCTTGCATTTTCATATACACAGATGCATATACATATACAGTGAGTGACGGTAACGCCAGCGGCAAAATCCAGCCGAGAGTGTCCATATAATTGCTATTGCAAAATAAAGCTTTATAGAACAGGAAACGAGCAACCAGGTGTCAGTTAATGCGAATAGGTGACTGGTAATATGGGAAATCGCGGGGAACTCTGAGATACGATGGCCTCTGGTTCGATGCACCACGCAAGTCGCCAGTGACACCCGCGCATTTTCGCACCGCTCCGTTGAAAAAAAAAAACACCTCTCCGTTCAATGTCAGTGCTTTCAAAGTTGTTTTGTTTTGTTTTTGCTGACCGTGACTGTGACGATGTCAAGCTACAAAGCCATGAATGCTAAGGAGACTTTTTAATCGCACTGAAAGATCTGCAATGCTTTTATGCTGCTTGGAACTACTGTCAGCTTGGCTAGAGAAAGATCAGTCGAGACAGCAGAGAGCTTTAATTGTATGATACGTTACTGCAGATAAAAAAAAATCACCGTTTTGAAAATCTCTGAGGATGGGGATGACTGTAGCAGCGTGCATTTCGGGATCGCTGCTTCGGCCGACATTGTCGGTCAATCGTCGTGAAGTGTAGCGCTTATTGAGCTCCTTGAGGGCTTTTTTCTAGCCTTCAGCGTGCTTTTGGATGCATTTCTTAGTCGAAGCCAGATGCGTATTCGAACGCTGATCTTGGTCAAGCTGCGTGGCACGGCGGCACATAAACAATACACTCAGACATAGACGGCGGCGAATAACCGAAACCCCGCGCTTGTTTAACCCACTTCTTTTGTGTGCCATCCTGGCGCACACTTTCACCAAGATCAACGCAAATGAACTCGTCCAGCGCTTTGTGTAAACTTAGTCTTGAGTGAAGTTTTCGCGTTTTTTGTCTAATATATAGGGGTGCAATGAAAGGCGCTGATTTCATATGGCAGGCAGATTTCGCCCGCGCGTTTCTGTAATATATTTGCTAGGCGCGCCTGCACGACAATTAATTTATCGTTATAATATTCGCAGGGAATTCATACGCAAGCTTTTTATTAGTGCGCAATACACACGTACCTGTGATAAAATGGCCTTCGCACACACTGCCTTTCAAAATTCGGTACCCAAAGTCTACTTGTCACTGTGGCTCTCTTCACAGCCACGGTCCATCTCACTTTTCTTTCTTCATTCCATGGGAATCGATACCTGCGTTTTCCTTTCCCGCTCGAGTTTTAGCAGCCAACGGCTGAAAAACCGACCATGGTTTATCAGGATGAAGACAAACGGGCGACCGCGCGCGTGAATCCCGAATAATCTGAGGCTTGCGACCCAGTGGTTTGCCGTCATCTGCTCTTCTCGAACCGGAAGCTGGCAACAGATGGTGCATCCCAACATTCCTGGCTCTTTCACTGGTCACCTATGGCACAACGAGTGGGTAGTCGACTGTTCCAACTCTTTACAAAAGCTTTATCTTGTTCACCGATTAGGTGTGGCGCATACCCACTGTGGCAGATTGGAAGGATTACAAAAGCTCGTGGCATAATTGTTCATTGTCATGCAGCAGGCGGTGCACAGCAGGTACAACGCTTCTCCGAAGATTGACAAAAATGGCAAAGTGAATGTCTGCCTACTCCACAATGATTAATGGCGTAGTTGGTATCCTGCTATTGTGCTTGCTGACCTACCTAAAGAGCAGAAAAAAAAAAGCTTCTGAAAAGCCACCCTTCTAGCTTTCACTGTGAGAGTGCTGCGCGTTCAGCGCAGACCTGGCATTTTTTTCTTTTGAAGAACCCGCCGTGGGGTTCTAGTGGCTAAGGCACTGGGCTGCTGATTCGCAGGTCGCGGGGTCTAATCCAGGCTGTGGCAGCGGCATTTTCAATGGAGGCGAAAATGCTCTATAGGCCCGAGTGCTCAGATTTGGGTGCACGTTAAAGAACCCCCGGTGACAGAAATTTCCGGAGCCCTCCGCTACGGCATCTCTTATATTCATACGATGGTTTTGGGGCGTTAAAACTCACATAATTCTTCTTCTTCTTCTTCTTCTTCTTCTTCTTCTTCTTCTTCTTCTTCTTCTTCTTCTTCTTCTTCTTCTTCTTCTTCTTCTTCTTCTTCTTCTTCTTCTTCTTCTTCTTCTTCTTCTTCTTCTTCTTCTTCTTCTTCTTCTTCTCTTCTTCTTCTTCTTCTTCTTCTTCTTCTTCTTCTTCTTCTTCTTCTTCTTCTTCTTCTTCTTCTTATTATTATTATTATTATTATTATTATTATTATTATTATTATTATTATTATTATTATTCCTTTAAAAAGATTTCCGAGTTTCAAAAAAGCTTGGTGCACTTCTTTGAACACGCGTGGTATTTACCACGTTCACTTGCCTTGTTTTAGTGAGGCGCGCATTGGGACATGCCTGCACAACCGTTTCTGTGTATTTTTTTGGAGTTTATTTGCACCTTTGTATATTTTGTTGCAGCAGCAAACGATATTACCGTGTTTAGAAATCAGATGCACCGTTTACGTTCTTGTGTGGCTCCGATTTTAGGTGATTTTTTTTTTGCTCAGGCAGACAGATTTATTAATCGTCTTATCGAGGGTACTGGCACTGCCAAAGTTTTCAGGATCTTTGATGACTTTACACTTCGATTGACACTGATCTAGTCTTTGGTAAAGCTTTCGCAACTTTAGGCACATTTTATCTGCAATTGAAGTATCTCAAAATCTTTTGGTTGATTGATGCATAAAATTTTTAGATATGCTAATAATTTTCAAGGCAAACCGTGTATTCTGTCAGTGGAGCCTCGGGCGAATAAACCTCTGCTACTTTTTAGCTCCTGCCATTTTAGCTTGTTAAGCGTTGTATACCCAACCTCTGCTTGCTTAACGTTTCAGAAAATTCGGTTCCGATTGTGTAGCGGAATGTTTACGCAAGTAGATAAACAACCTGGACGAGGCAGGCTATGCGCAAGCTGTAGTGGTTCTTGTAGATGAAACAATCTTGAAAAAATCACGAACCCGGAAAATGGACCAACAGCCACCTCGTGTGAAAGAAAAGCTAGCTGTGATACCGTACGTTCATCACGTGTCCCATAACTTGATCATTGGTAAGTGAGCATGTGTAAAGGTGAGCCTCTGCGCACTTTTAACAATGTCTAGACTTTGCAAAACGACCAATACTTGCCTCCGAAAAGCCCCAGCCTGTTCTGTAAACCACGAATGTAAATATGTTGAGTGCCAGGTTCGTGTGTTTACCATATCCCCCGGTATAGTGGCGAAAAGAACGTAGGCCAAACTATGTAGTGCTTTAACGACAGGCTCAAACAGCATTGCAAACATTTTGAGAAAGGCTGAGAGGGTCACCTGGCAATCCAAGGCAGAGATTGTAAGTGTGCACTGAATTATCGCACATGTTCCGTGATACCCAAGTGTCGAGACAAGTGGAATAGAATGAAGCTTGAGGCAAAAAAGATCACAGAGCCAGTGAATATTGCATCGGCGTGGCCTCCATATATTTATCTGAGAAAGAGTTGCGCTGTATAAATGCGACTGCGCAGCAATGACACGTCACAACGGTCCGTTGTTTCATTCGAAACAAAACCTAAACACAACAATGTAAAAAGGTACAAATGCGTTTGAAGCCGGCAAGTATACTAGGCAAGGCTAGACATTGTTGTTTACTACCCATCATTCCCGTTGCTGAATAATCGCAGCGCCAGAGTCCCCCCTAGTTAATCTCAGGAAACTATGCATTCGATGGCACTGAAAGCCCCGCACGGCAGGCTGAAGAACACTCTTTTCTTTTTTTAGAATTTCAGGCATTTTGAGGAAACACTTAGAAGAAACCAAATAAGTCAGCAATCTTAGCATAGGAGAAAAAAAATATAGGCTTTTTAACAAGCAATTTTAAAAACCGAGTATTTGGGGAGTGTTTCTGCTAGACAATAATAATAATCTACTTCGAGCACTTTTCCTCGCGCTGTCCCCACGGTTACAGTAGTTCATGGTCGCGAAGGGTGCGCACATTATCAGTGTGACAAGGCTTTCCCGACAGGAAAGTGACCAGTGCTGGAATTTCAAGAGAGGAAATGCGAGCAAGTCGCATTACGATTATTGTTGTGCAGCAGAACTACTCCACGAATACTCCATTTTTTATTAAAGCCAATGCTACGTACAACTTTTGTGCTAAACATTGTTTTCTAGCGCTATTCTGCTTCACTCAACAATGCGCGTTATTATTGAGATTGCCGAAGTGGGAAAAAAAATGACGACGTTCTTTAAGGGGCTCAGAATGATGTGTCACTTGGATAAGTGAGGCACCTATGTTCTTTTAATACTTTGCGCGACTTAGCTGAAAGACACTGTATACATGTAGATATTGAAGTCTGCAATACTTCGAATGCAATACGTTTATTTAGTGAATAATCGGTATAGGTGGTCTGCAGAAAGAGGTAAACACAGGACACGTGGAACAGCAGCAAAAAGCACTTACAAACATCTGACTGATTACATGAGGGGAGGGCGCATGCAAGCGGTCGTTTTGATACTTATGTATGCAGTGTTAATCATTTCGTCACGTATTTGTTGTTGCTGATAGCGCGAGAGAAAGGTTATTGTTGGCAACAACACTGAAGCATGAGACCCTATTTTTAGACTTCTCTATTACAACAACTGGAAAGCCACACACGGGCAAGATAAAGAAGACCACGAATAAGGAGAGAAAACTTTAATGTATTCAGTGCCGTCTTTCGGTGGCCTTTTCTTTATTAAATTGGTGTGTGTGTGTACTGTCACTCTAACACAGACTATTAATTCTAGCAAGCTGCATAAGCGGCGCTGTTGTTTCTCCTTCAGGTGCCATAAGCCTTTACGAATCGAGAGTGCATCGCCATCCTTCGCGTAGTCAGTACACCCACGGGGCCCAGACACCGTTGTGACGTTCTGGGGCGCCTAGGGGATCCACTGTGTCGTTCACGGGTGGCACAACGGTCTTGTTGTAGGCCTCAAGTTTCTCCAACAGCATTGACAAGATCTGCAAATTACGCAGTTCCTTAGTGAATAAACAAGGCCGAAACACTTGTGCGCATAGTAAAACGCGTTAGAAAATCAACACCAACAAGAAAAAACGTACGTTACGGAAGAACACACGGACTAATTATGCGCAATTGAATATCCTAACCATGTGCAGTACGAGCGTAGATACAGAGACAAAGTACATTGAATATTGCGTACAGCGAAATATTGAAAGAAGTTGTGGCTAAACGCTGCTCTTCAAAGAGCTACTTGGCAGAAACCCCACAAGCTTCAAAGATTGGCTTACCGCCAACCCCACAAAAGGCGTTAACCGCTTCTGCGGTTGGCATTAACCACTAGGCCGCAGAATAGCCCGTCTTTCAACAAACCATAATGACGGCCTGTTGGTATACTCCATTTATCACTGGCGGCAAGGCGATATCAGCGTGTTCTCTGCATTACCGGTGAGATGGTGCGAAGGGCGCATTCCACGTAAAGCTCTTGAAACTTCGTAAAGTAGTAAAATACGTGAGATAAAGTGCGTCTTTTCTCCTGTCTGCCTCCTCCGACCTATTCCAGGTTGATACCGCATCGGTAATGGCCAGATTCACCCTGCGTGCAAACCCTGCGTGTGGTCCCACGGGACCACACGCAGGGTTTGTTTGTTCACAGTCGCTCGAGACTACCATAATTGCTCGTAAAGCGCGGAATAAACTTTGTACAGGGCATTTGTTTTATGGATGCGTACTTGTCTTTCCCTGCGGGTTGCGCTGTGAGATGCTTATCACACCAGACTGACGTCGCTGTTGGTCGCCATTGGCAGCTGCTGCCCCTTCCCGAGTTCGGCGTTGGTGCCTTCTGATGCCATAGCAAGTATAGTGACGGCAAATAACTCTTCGTGATACCGTACGGTAAGCGGGACCAGTGGGGGCGTAAGATGTGGTTGCACAGAATCGGAAGTGAAACTGCAAGCCGACATTTTATAAGAAAGGTCTCCACGTCTATACCAGTGCTTTCGCAGTCAGCTTCACGCATTATTTCCAGCGTGGAAGTTTGGACATTCTTGCAAAGTCTGTGACAGTCTGTGGTTCGACAAAGCTTTGTCTAGCTAAGAAAAGACCTAGTGGCTGACGAGAAGGCCTCAAGCTCCCTAACATCACCTGGCTTCGCTGCATCTTAAGCTTCACACACTAGTGCAATCTTCTTCCTTTTATTTATGACAGAAGAAATCCACGAGAATTTAAAGATAGCACGCTATTACCCTTTTTTTCCGCAAAGTTAACAGAGTGTGGTAGCTTCTTTTACTGCGTAGCATGGCGAGTCAAGTATCCGCTGTCGAACCAACACACTTTTGGGTTTCTTTCTTTTTGGCATAGCCGAGTAGAGCAGAACGAAAGCACGTATACTGAAAACGCCTGAAAAGCTAGAAGGGAGGAGTGCCTCGTATTGGCCGGGTTGTTCCCGTAAGGCAACTTTCAAACTTGTTGGTGAACAGCTTAAAGGGCCTTGACATGGCCCATCAATGATTGATGGCTTTTTACAATAAAATAGAAATTGAAGGTCTGTTACATCTATACAAACGAGAAAAGTGTGGTGTAAACGAAAAAAAACGACTCTAAAAAAGACCTAGGTGCCACCAGATGTTAAACCCGCCCCCCGCCAGTGACCGGCATTTTGTTACGGCACGTGCGACGTCCTGTGCTGGAAGGCACGGAGCCCTCTACCAAAGTTTCAGCCGTATCAAATCATTCAATATCAGCACAAAGCTGAAGAAAGCTTAAAAAATCTCAATTTCGCGCGCAGCCAGTCACGAAACAGTGTCATTCGCCGAAAGGCAGACGCCAGCACAGCTAGCTGCTCGATACGTCATGGTTGACGAGTGTGCCAAAGTTGCCCGATTCTTATGCTGGTCACGTGTTTATGGAAAATATTGAGCTTTAATATAAGGACTTGATCAAATACGCCAATGTTGAGCCATCTTTTCCGTGAATTGACGAATAATAACCCACACAACACAGATTGTGATAAAAATTGGTTGTAATGGCCCCGTTAAGTAAAAACAGACAAAATAAAAAAAAGCTGCGTGCACATTACATTGACCTTTTTTCTTCGCTATTCATTTCCCTGGAGGTTTTCAACGGTTGCGCGTTCGCCAACCGCTCACGCAATGTCAGCACGGTGGCGGCGTTTGCTTGCCGGCACGTCTAGTTTCACTGCTTCTAGCGCTTGCTTTCTCGAAATAAATTGAACTACAGGACTGGGGTGAACCCCATAGAGTTTCCAACATGGAATCTTGCCCGGAAAGACGAAGATGATCTCCAACTACACTCGAGAGCGAAATTTGGGGTTAAAGAGTGTTCACATAAGCGCTAATTTTAAAAATAGGCATTCCGAGGCATTAAGGCATTACATGAACTCTAAATACAGTTCAAAATCCCTTCTAGGCCTCTAATTTGTGCTTGTGTATTAACGTGGTGCCATAGCTACTCAAGGAACGTAATATGCATTTGCCTAAAAATCGGTTTCCACTAATCACCTGTCGGCACACCAGCACAGAAGGTTTGGTTATACTGTGTACCTTTCAAATGATTGCAAAAGAACATTGGCAGCCTACTTTTGATGTGCACGTAATGGGCGTTTTCGTTGTCGTTTGATCCACCTAACCGCAGTCACCGCCAGTCACGGCTGCCACCATTTTACGAATCGAATTATGCTTTTGTGCCTTCCAATTCAGGCTCGTAGATCGCTGAACTACCACAATAAAAGCTCGTTCATTCGAACTCGGTTAATTCAAAATTACATTTAATTCTAACTGATGCCCTGGTCTCGTTTCAGCCTTGTATGTTTCTGTACAGGAAAACTGCTGATAATTTGAGTGCGTCGGTAGTCGCAGTGGTCTGTTTGAACTGGGATCTCTTGGTTTGCATTCTTCTTTGCAGAAACTGGCCCGAATCGATCACAATGTGTTGCGACACCAAACCAAACGCACTAGAGATGCAAAACTACAAAACAACCACCTTCTCGCCAAGTGAAAATTCGGACGCGGCACGGGAGCTTTTGGGCAAACTGCAAATAATGGCCATAAAATCGTGATTGAAGAAACATAGGTAAATGTAAATTACTGATTAAATTGTACTTAGTTGTGTTGTGTCTGCCATGTATACAGTTATTAGAAATGTTTCATAATTTGTGTACTGTCTGAGAATGCATGCGGGATCACCCAGCAATTTTTGTTGTATTGTTTCCCTTTCTATTTATTACTACTTTTATGGAATGAGAGTTAGCAAGCTAGTTACTTCAATGATTTGTATACATAATTTGTATATATTATATTGATGTATTGTATAAGCAGGATATCTGTGGCGAAATGCTGGTCCGAATTTGAGACACTCGGTATGAGAGCTTTGTCAGGCTGCCTAAAATCAGTTTTTTCTCTGACAGCTCATAATTTGTATTGTTCATGGAAATGAGCACCTACTCTATACTATCTTATTCGAATATGTGTATATGAACGTATTTCAGAGCATACATATCGTCATATATTTCGACACTAAGGCTCACTGTCGACGTGAATGCACATCGCTGCTTTTTTTCTGACGCATCTCTCAACTGATCCATTAATCCTGTTTGGTCTTAGGACTTTCTTATCTTTTAAATCATTAGCCCCTAATGCGTAACAGCGCCTAGCTAATTTGCGGTAACTAGTCCCGAGATGACTACGTCGGAACTTTTTCTGCCGGTGCACTATGGTACGACGTTCGTTCATTCTAGTGCCCGCCCGCTAATTTGACCTCCATTTATTATGAACAATATTATAGTACCCTTCGAGTTCTAATTAACGAGCTTTTACTGTACTAATGTTTATACGAGAATAAGTTTCAATGGCGTCTCAAGCATGCCGCACCTTCCTCCCTTACTTTTCTGTACTCACTTCTGGCCGTTCTTCGGACAAGTTGTGAAGCTCGCATGGATCGTTCGTGATGTCGAACACGTAGTACGGTGCTCCTGGCGAGAAGTTCGCGTTGGCAGCGGCGTCATCTCCGCACGTGAGCGTCGCTTCTCGTCTCCACTGGCCGGCGTGCTCAAACACGTCGTCTCTGCCGTACAGGCGTTTGAGCACAGCTGCTGCTCTCGAATTGCTCATCATTTCGTCGAGGCCTTCGTAGGGCCGGCTGCCTCCCGGAATCTCGATGCGCTGGTTGAATTCGCCGAAGTCTCCGATGACCAGCTTCCAGTTGCGGTAGCGCAGCGCCGCTTCGCCAGCCGGCGCGTTAATGTTGACCAGGATCTCTGATCGTGGCGACTCCTCGCCGTCGGTGAGCGCCCGCCACATGTCGAAACCATCCAGTGGGGGAAGTTTATCCACGTCGCCTCCTGTTCAGAAATAGCAGGGGAATTTTAAACACGTATTCTCACAAGACTCGAGAAGGGGAAGGAAGCACTTTATTCACTCCATAAAAGGGGTTATCTGAAAGGGGGTGGGGGTTCATGGTGTTTGAGAAGAAAAAGACAAGGGTCTCTCAGGCCAGCCTAGGTGTCCGAAACTCCTTTTATTTCGGTGACCCCTATGGCCAAGCAAGCGCCGGGTGATAAAAAAATATTGTCGCTTGTGTGGATAAGCCATGGGTTTCTGCTTTAAATATATATTTTTAAATATGAGAAACCAACTAGCCCAACAACAAGTTCTTTTACAGGGCTGGGCAGATAATTTGAAACTGTATCATGATATGACGCAAGACACCAGGGTAACAAGTAAGGGAGATACAGGTACGAAAAAATGGCAGATCCCACGTACAGCAGGAATCAAAGATATGAGAAGCAAGAATGAGGAAGGACAATATGTCACTTTGAAATCAGCACAACATTAGGAGGTGGATGTTCATTATGCCGTACATGACTTCCATGTTATGAGTATCATGGTTGCACCTGGAATTTCTGTTTGTCGTCCATAGTCGTTTCGTAATACCAAATTTGGTATACGTGAAGCTAGCAAAACGGCTGCGAGTGCTCTAAGAGCGTAGGATGTCTTCATGTCTAACATGACACGCTTATCACGATTATAATGTTTGACGTGTCAGTTACCTTTGTCGTTCGTTTGCGTCACGTAATATCAAATTTGGTATATGTGAAGCCAGCGAAACGACCACGAACGCCCGCCCCATGAGCTTGGTGTGTCTATAGTTATCACTTACATGACATGCACGCATTGATTTCTACGTTAGGGTTTGGCACTGGTGTTGGCCGTGCAGTCATTTCATGCCATATCGGCTTTGGAATATGCCATGTGAATGAAATCTCCGCAAGAGACATTCATCTCCACAAGTCACATTCATTGAAGTGGCAATCACTGCAAGTGGCATTCATGAATCATGACACACATAATGTAGCGTAGCGATCTGGTCGCTACTAGGTCGCCACTGGAGAGAGGATCGACACGTATGCACAGCAGATTGAAAGACTTTTTACTAAACTGATTTTTTGGCTAAACGCTCCTGATTGCCGTTGTACACCCTTGTACGCTACATAACTGGGACAACTCTGCGCCGCACTCTCTGCAACCGGCTCTCGTGGCATCCACCATGTGACTTTTACGGCTCCCCTGGCAAAGCCCGAGAGCCCGCCCGGAGACCGAACCGGAAAAGACCACACGAACGTCTCGGTTGACGACTCAAATTGGGTGGAACAAATTGAAACAGCTAGGTGCATCCAAGCACCGGGGCGTCCACCAAGTTTCACCATGAGGACTGCTGTGAACGTAAAAAATAATGACCTAAAGTAAACACACACAGGAAACTACTGCGACGTCCTTTTAGGCTTCCACAGTGCAGCTCCCCCGCAGACTGTCCGGCGCCGCTGGAAGTCGTTAGCAACCCTCTACCCGAGAAACAACTCCTCGTAGAAGGGAAGCCCTCTACGAGGAAGCTTCCTCGTACGAACTTTCCTATACGAGTACAAAAAAGCCGGTGCGACCACCACAACCCTACTCTAGGGCGACCCCGCGACATTGAAACGAGCAAAAAGTTGAAAGAAAATAGCTACATCAGTGTTTACGCGGTAATATCACAATTTTCATGCTATGAGCAGTCACTTTTGCTCGTCATACAGTCATGTTATGCCACAGGCACCACCCACTGACCACAGGGAGCTGCGTTATCACACTGCCCTGTCTCAAAGCCTTTGACATTCGCCGTTAGGGGCACGCAGAAAATAGACGAGTATGCGCGTCGCCCATGTATCCTGGCCACAATACACCGACAGATGCAGGGCGCAAGACGCGCGCGTAGCGTTCTATTTTCACCGGTAGCAAGGTTGTTTTTTTAAATGCGAAGCATTTCACAGCGAACTTCGGCGTCTTTGAGCGTATCCATTCGTCCGTCCGTCCGTCCGTCCGTCCGTCCGTCCGCCTGCCTATCTATATCTATCTATCTATCTATCTATCTATCTATCTATCTATCTATCTATCTATCTATCTATCTATCTATCTATCTATCTATCTATCTATCTATCTATCTATCTATCTATCTATCTGTCTGTCTGTCTGTCTGTCTGTCTGTCTGTCGTCTGTCTGTCTGTCTGTCTGTCTGTCTGTCTGTCTGTCTGTCTGTCTATCTATCTATCTATCTATCTATCTATCTATCTATCTATCTATCTATCTATCTATCTATCTATCTATCTATCTATCTATCTATCTATCTATCTATCTATCTATCTATCTATCTATCTATCTATCTATCTATCTATCTATCTATCTATCTATCTATCTATCTATCTATCTATCTATCTATCTATCTATCTATCTATCTATCTATCTATCTATCTATCTATCTATCTATCTATCTATCATCTATCTATCTATCTATCTATCTATCTATCTATCTATCTATCTATCTATCTATCTATCTATCTATCTATCTATCTATCTATCTATCTATCTATCTATCTATCTATCTATCTATCTATCTATCTATCTATCTATCTATCTATCTATCTATCTATCTATCTATCTATCTATCTATCTATCTATCTATCTATCTATCTATCTATCTATCTATCTATCTATCTATCTATCTGTCTGTCTGTCGTCTGTCTGTCTGTCTGTCTGTCTGTCTGTCTGTCTGTCTGTCTGTCTGTCTGTCTGTCTGTCTGTCTGTCTGTCTGTCTGTCTGTCTGTCTGTCTGTCTGTCTGTCTGTCTGTCTGTCTGTCTGCTGTCTGCCTGCCTGCCTGCCTGCCTGCCTGCCTGCCTGCCTGCCTGCCTGCCTGCCTGCCTGCCTGCCTGCCTGCCTGCCTGCCTGCCTGCCTGCCTGCCTGCCTGCCTGCCTGCCTGCCTGCCTGCCTGCCTGCCTGCCTGCCTGCCTGCCTGCCTGCCTGCCTGCCTGCCTGCCTGCCTGCCTGCCTGCCTGCCTGCCTGCCTGCCTGCCTGCCTGCCTGCCTGCCTGCCTGCCTGCCTGCCTGCCTGCCTGCCTGCCTGCCTGCCTGCCTGCCTGTCTGTCTGTCTGTCTGTCTGTCTGTCTGTCTGTCTGTCTGTCTGTCTGTCTGTCTGTCTGTCTGTCTATCTATCTATCTATCCGCCTACGACTTTTAGCTCTCCTGGCCGTTCGGATGATGGTTTCCATACCAAACTTGGTATAGCAGAGCATGACTGGATGAAGAACATATTTGGCTAGTCATCACATGAAATTCATGCCGTGTTTGTCCTGAATGTCACAATTTACATTTCAGCCCCGCCGCGGTGGTCTAGTGGCTAAGGTAGTTGGCTGCTGATCCGCAGGTCGCGGGATATAATCCCGGCTGCAGCGGCTGCATTTCCCATGGAGGCGGAAATGTTGTAGGCCCGTCTGCTCAGATTTGGGTGCACGTTAAAGAACCCCAGGTAGTCGAAATTTCCGGAGCCCTTCACTACGGCGTCTCTCATAATCATATAGTGGTTTTGGGACGTTAAACCCCACATATCAATCAAATCTACAAAACGCTGGTTTAAATGTGTGTTTATCCTAGTGCAACACAACGATGACACCAGCCCAACGAAGACATGAAGCAGACGCCGACCATCGGCCGACGAGTCGCCCGGCGACGAAGCCGCCCAAGGTCACACTTGGCTGATGACGACGCCTCAAAAGACAGTAGGTCGTCGTAGTGTAACTTATTGACATACCACAAACGCCAGTAAAACGCATCCGCAGACCTGTCGTCGGCGTGTCGTCGGGAGATGTGCAGCTGGGTGAAAATTTGCCCTTGTCTTTACTTTAAACCACGACGAAGGAGGAAGTCTTGGGAGAGATAACGATGCATCCTCCAAGCCTTCCACGGTGTTTGAACAGGCCTATTGCGCACTTCACTGAGGTGTTTTCTTCGCTTACCTTTTGTGTGTCCCCATCCCCGTCCCTCAACGCCGTGGATTATGGCGGTGGCTGCGCCGCGTAGCCGAAGAGGGACAATGGTAGAGCAGGGAGCATGGCTCAAAATCAGGGGCAGGCAGGCAAGTTTTGTTGGTTCCGCTGTGTGTGCCTCTAGTGTGACTACAGAATTGGCCAGCGAATGAAACGCTGTGACGCCAGGCACGAACGGAGTATTTCAGAGACAATCAGTGGGCTTTTTGTGTGATTGTAGTGCAAATATGACGAAGACAAGTCAAAAGACACTGCCAAATAGAGTCGGCCGACCAAAATAGGGGTCGTGTCCCGCTAGTGTGAACACGCCTTAAGAGAACACGACCGGGGGGGGGGGGCGCTGCGAGCGCTCGATGGTGACGGACGCACTCCACATCGCCTCCGTAGATTTTCTGCTATTTCTGCGGACATCCACCTTGGTACCCCTGAAGCTTGGATTTATCGTCACCGCCAAGTTCTCTGCTTCGCCTAGACAACACCTTCGTCCAGGTGGGTCCAGTTTTGACAACTTGAGGGACATCCTTCACTCCCGGCTACAACGCCGCCTCGCTAAGGGCTCTCAGCCCGGCGATGGCGGCCGCCAACGTGGTTACGGGCTATGATCCTACCTCAAGCCAAGTGCTGTCCATGGAGATTTCATCCTCCGTAAACACTATGCCAACAGAAGATGAATACCTCGAAGACATGGTGAGACTGTGGCAACGCAAGCAAGCCAAATCAAAGTCTGCGTCTCAACAACAACGAGACGCCACAGCTGGCCGCCATTCCCCAGCCTTGCAAGGAACGCCGGCGCTCCATCCATCCGGTGGTGTGCCTACCTCTGCTCCGTCCTCGCAGCCAGCGAAGCAGCGCAAGTGGCGTCCGCGTCAGACTCCTCGCCTCTCTCGCGACGACTACATCGTAGTAGTTAAACCTCGCGTTCCCTGCGTGCTACGCACATTTGTCCCGGCCGATCGCGCGGGCGACGCCATCCGCAGCTACCTCGG